AACTCCCATGTACCCTCCAGGACCCTGCTGAGGGTGTAGAGCTGGTCCAGTGTTCCACGACCAGGACGAAAACCACACTGCTCTTCCTGAATCTGAGGTTCGACTATCTGACGGACCCTCCTCTCCAGGACCCCTGAATAGACCTTACCAGGGAGGCTTAATATCGGCCGATACCGATATTCTAAAAAAAATTACCAATATCGGCCGATACTCATATTAATGCCGATATATCGTGCATCCCTAGTTTTTGGTTTTATGTGTTTTGTCTTGCAGTTGTACTTCAGCTTGCAACAAACTTCCCTTAGAGGAAAATAAAAATAAAGTATATCTAGATATCTCTATCTAAATATATATAGAAGTCTATCTATCACAACAGTCTATCTAGATATATATAGAAAATAAAGTATATCTGATCTTATCAGTTCAGTTCAGTGTGTACATCCCTGACTTATCAGATCTCAATTCCATTAAAAATAACTTAATCAGTCCAGTCCATAAAGGCCCTGTCATACTATATATACTGTTTTAGACAACTTATGTGACTTATGAAAACCTTATGACTATTTTACTCATATTGGTTCAATCTAATTGTTAGCATTACAGAATCTTATAGGCCCAAAAGAGGCTTACAATAGATTTTTTTATCTTTAGTATTGGATAAAATTGCTGTGCTGTATAAAGTACTACAAAGTGATACTTGAGTAAAAGTACAAGTATCTTACCAAAAAATTACTTTGGTAAAAGTTAGTCTCCTTTAGGAATATTATATAAAAGTTTTAAAGTATCTGATACTTTGTGTACTTAAGTATTAAAAGTAAAAGTATTGACTTATATTGAGCAGTAAGTCATTTATGCATATTTTGGGGCGGTCATTTCCTAATAAATGTTATTACAGAAAATATATGTCTTATTAAAAGAATGAATGGATGTTAAATTTAGGATGCACTAGTCCAGCTGTTTCAGTTTATATACATATATCAAGGCTGCACAAAGCTTTTCCCCAAAATGAAAATCTATCTGAGGGCTGCGGCCAAATGTAATAATATAATTCATGAAATATAAATACTTCTTAAGTACAGTCCTTTGATTTGAATGATTCTGTCCTGCTGGAGTGTGACAGGATTTATTTGTGTACTGGGTCAGAACAATGTTTTTGTCAAACAGAACCAACAAGAAYGAAACAAAAAGTAAAGAATTAGAGAAAAAAATAAATGTTACATGTAAACAGATTCTAATTATAATAAATTAATAATAGTTTTACATCTAAAAATCATATTTTATTATTTTAATCTATTTTCCTCATTCAGCAACCTATTAAATTTCTGTTATGTTTCATGTAGGAGAAATACACTTTTTTTTCAGTCAGTATTTAATACAGCTGGCAAAATAAATTGTTAAAATATGTATTATGTGCTTCTGTTTTTTAATTCAGGAGATTATAAAAAAATCCTTCATTTTATGGGAAGACCCTCTTGATTCAAGAGAAAACTCCAGTTTTTTTTAAATGGCTGCTTATTAATTAATTGTTAATCAATCTATAAGATAAATCAACTTCAGATTAATTCATTATCAATAGCTTGCATCCTTAAGGAGTTAACTTAATTTATATCTACTCATAGTCATGTAATTAAGCGTTTTAATGATTTGGCCGATTAATCCAAAAAATAATCAACAGTTTAATCGATTATTAAAATAATCGTTAGTTGCAGCCCTACACCTTACCAAAACCGAGGATTTATGTTCAAGGATGTTGAACAAAAACTTGGCCCCCTCTAAGAGTATTAGAGGGGGCCCTTGAAGGCCCCTTACTCAGAAAAATCCTAGATCCGCCCCTGGATGCAGTCCACTTTAAGTCCAAATAAACCCAGAGTCCGGTTCAAATAACTGTACAGAACCTGCACAGGCTCCGTGTGGACCGAGCCCAGTTTGTCCTGTAAACATTGTATCATTGTTTGTTTCCACTCCTCATCCGAACCGCCGGTCCGGACAGGAACTGAACTGATGCAACCAGGGCAATAATGCGCCCCAAATCGATACAACGCTTCCGCTCATTTCGCAACGAGAAGCCACCATCATTGCGCACTTCTGCGGTGCACACACACGCAGACACACACAGACACACAAGCAGCACAGGGCCAAAACACGTCCCAGTGGAGCTGAGGGGTAGAAATGTGTCAGAAAGTGGACCGTGTTGGTTACAAACGGTGCCGGGGCCTACCTGTTCCTCCTCCACAGATAAAGGAGCTGCCATGATTCCCCTTCTCATGAAGTGATGGCGGAGTCAGGCCTATCTGTCCCTGCGAGTCCGGGTCTTTAAGGCTTGTCCTCGTCCCAGGAGACAGAAGACATGTGAGACACCGCAGAGGACCGACTCCGTGTCGCTGCGCCCCCCCGCCGTGGACCTACGACCAGCCGTTCACGGTGCAGAGCAGCCGCTGATGTCTCAGATTTGACCGGAGAGAAGGAAAACAGAGGCAGGAAATGGAGAAAGAAAAGAAAAAAAGACGAGTGGAGCAGCTTGATGTTGGGTTTAGAGGCAGATCTGAGGCTCATCCAGCCAGCCTGACCCGGATCACAGGGCTGCAGCTGCCCGCTGACGCACGCTCCATGCCGTGAATCACAAGTTTTTAGCTCTGAACGTCGTCTTTATGCTGCCTGAGAGTAACACACACACACACACACACACACACACACACACACACAC